ATTATATTGTAATTTTTTTTTTTTAGGCGGAATTGTTACAATAACACCACAAGTTTTTCTGTCAGGACATTATAGTGACATTATTCAAAGGGTCATGGATGTCTGCAATAAGGTTATATTTTTACTGATTGCTCGAAAACTTACAGTTCATTTCAATCTAAATTTTATTGTTATTTAATAATAGCAACTTATGGAAAAAAATTGGAAATGGACTATAAAATTATATTCGGAAATAAGCACAATGCTTGATGCAATATGTAACGAACAGAAGTTCAAGTATGAATTTTATATATTTATTCTAAATGTAAAATTCATAACTTTAATTATAACTATATATAATATTCTTTATCTATAATAGGAATTTTGAATATACGCAAAATGCATATTATTCATTTACAAGCCAAAGATTCAAGAACCATCTTGAATGCAAACATTTTGAATTATTTAACGATGAGGAAGTTAAATGTATTGAGGTAATGATTGTTTGCTTTTGAGAACTATAAAAAATTTAAATCATAAACTTTAATCAATAATATTTTTTAAATCCTTCTTTGCATTAGAAACTTCAAAAGCAAGATCCGACAATGGTTAAAATCTTATATTATATAATGACTAGAATACATAATTTAAATCTAACGGAATTTAGGCATGTCATCTTGATTCAAGACGACAGTGAAATAGAGTTAGGAGTTGTTGATGTTCCTGGAGTAAGTTTGTCATATAATACTTAATATAGTATTTAGTTATCAACATCATTTAACTTATTGAACACCATTGTTATATAGGTTGAAAGAATGTTATTAACAGATTTCGAATCAACATTTGGGTAATTCTTTAATATATTGATAAATGTTTTTATCGCTTTTAAGTGTTTACGAGAGTTAGTAATTTTTAATTGAAAAAGTCTGTATGAATAGTTGATTTAGTATAAACACATTTTCATTTTAACTAAACAAAGGTATGGTCAGATGTTTTCTTCAAGATGAATATTTCTAGTGAGAGATGGAAGTTTGTTCGGCTTCGTAATTTTGACCGATTCGATAGATAAATGATTGATTGTTCGAAGACTTGATTAATCATGTGCCTAAATTGCCCCTCTAAATAAAAAATTATTACGGTGTTAATTTGTTGTCATAGCTGCCGAAATTATTTAAACCCTTTATGTCAAAGTACGTTAAAATAATATATTTATTTGATGAGATATTGCTTTTTTAATTTAGACACGCGCCTATATGTTTGTTGTAGCTGATGCGGAGAATTTACCTTGTTTTGTTATGAAATTTTCAGAGCTTTTTTTTTTTTTGAGGGTTAGATTAGGATTTATGGATAAAGTTGTTAGTAAAAGGGTGTATGTGGACTTTAATAAGTTTGTAGGTTCAAATTGATATTCCAACAAGGTTTATAGAAAATTAACTTTTTACAGCTGTTTTTAAAGAGATGTGGAAAGACAATTTTTTTGATGTATACATGTACTGTATTTGCGCGTAATAATGCCCCTCTGTGTTATTTTGAATTCCTGCGCGTTATTTTGAACTCCTGCGCGTTATTTTGAACTCCTGCGCGTTATTTTGAACTCTTGCGCGTTATATTGAAGCGCGCATGCGCTTTATTTCGAGTAAAAATAAGATTTTTTCAAAATTTTATACGGTCAACCCCTTTGTAAATGTACTCCCCTTGGGACTATGGAACAAATTGTTAAAAATGGTGGGCATTTTTTTGAATAAACCATATTGGTGATGTTATAACTAAACTAAAACTATTATAAAACGCATTTAAGTTACATAAAAGGTGGGGCGTGTTATTCGGGACGCGCATGGGAATAATTCAGCTAATTTTTTGAAAAAGGCAAATTTCAAATTAACGCCCCGCCCGCTATTACGCGCAAATACGTTATAGAGTTTCGGGAAGTCTAATAGTGATGGAGAGATAATAATTTTTTTTTTTTTGTGGAGTTGATCTATCTTAGTCTATCTCCCGAAGACTAAGACTGGTATAT